GCACAATGGACGGGTGTTCTCGCCGCCTTGGTCAAACACGCACAGGTCAAAGCCCACGACGATCTGGGGGCTGTCCCGCCTCTTCATGTCCTCTTTAGGTCAGATGATATCTGAAGTGCTTTGTGACTGCATCACATGTCTAACATGCTTCTCTTCTTTTATATAACACAGATAAAGTAGGGTTTTTGTTGTTGTTTTTCCCGATATTGACCTGGAATACGGAGGGGCGTTGGAGAAACTTACAGGAACTTCTCTGAGTTTTGGTAAAACAGTTGGTTAACCACACTTGTTTTTTGTTCCCCCCCCCCCTCTTTCAGCTCTCCGCTACTCTGGCCATTCCCTTCTGGCAGTGGTTTCTGACTCGTTTTGGAAAGAAGACAGCGGTTTACGTTGGCACACTGGTAAGTCCCTGAAATCTTGTTAAAAGTATAAACAAACCGTAAAACTTAGGGGCATTTTTCTTTCTTAGGAAAACTGATGCAGTATCATTAAGAGACCTGTTTTGGGATTTAAATCTCTCACTGCTGTCATTTCCAGGCTGTGATTCCTTTCATGATCCTGGTGGTGTCCCTGAAGAGTAACCTGGCTGTCACCTACATCTGCTCCTTTGCTGCTGGCGTTGGAGTGGCTGTCGCCTTCCTGCTACCTTGGTATGCCTCTCCGCTGGCTCGTATTTGATGACTTTATAGATTAAAAACGTTTTTTCTTATCAGGAATGCACATAAATGACCAAGCCTCACGTTTTGTTTGTTCAGGTCTATGCTGCCCGATGTCGTCGACGACTTCCAAGTGCAAAATCCCGACTTCACCGGCCACGAAGCGCTCTTCTATTCCTTCTATGTCTTCTTCACCAAGTTTGCTTCTGGAGTCTCTCTCGGCATCTCTACTCTTAGTTTAGAGTAAGCACTCGCACAAAGTTTAAGCATTTGCAGCTATTTGTTTAGTTGAATTTCTCAGCACCTCCGTTCCATTAGATTACAGTGAGGCTATAGAGTGCATGTGGGTACATATCACATGAGTAACCACAGCAGTGTTTTTTATTTGATGAGTAATTTGTTACTTTTCCTGCACATCAGTATCTCTGCTGCGCTAAAAGCTAATAATTTTATTTCTCTTCTTTTTAGCTTTGCGGGTTACATCAGCCGAGGCTGCTCTCAACCTAAGGAAGTGGACTTGACGTTGAAATTACTGGTTTCGGCTGCACCCATAGCTCTGATGGCGATTGGCCTGTCCATAATTTACTCTTATCCGATCAATGAGGAGAAGAGGCAAGCTAACCGCAAACTCCTACAGGACCTGAGGTAAGTGCACAGACCCAAACGCTTCACCATCTTCTGTGTGTGTTGCATCTCTGTGAGGCAACCCTCCAACCGAAGTCTCTCGTCTCACAGGGAGAATGAGGCGGACTCTGAAACGGACTCAGCAGAACTAGCCAACGTGGTCTAGCTCATTTTCCAGACAGACCAGTGGGGTGAACGAATGGCACTTTTGCACCGGACGGCACCAACAGACCCGCGACTGTCGGATCACTGCCTTGTCCACTAATGCTGCTGTTGCTGCTGCTGTTCCAGAAGTACTTGATTCACTCAAGTGTCATTGTTTCAGCCACCCTGAGGCCTTTTCTAAAGACAACCCTCCCATCTGTGAATCTGATATTTTCCTGGCACACTTCTCTGTTTCTGTTTTTCGTGGGGAAAAAAAAGCCTTATTTTTTAGGTGTACTGTGAAAAGATCCTTTTCATTTTCTTTGTTTAGTTGGTCTTTCTCTGAGTCAAAAATCACACAAGAACTATGAAAAGCATTAAGAGCATGTTTTCATTAGTATTAATGGTGCTATATACGCACGTCGAACGTGAGCGACCTCAGGAGGATCTGAGATGTGAGCGTTCGACACGAGGAACTTGAACAGCGGTACAACCTTAATTTGTTCCCCCGTTTACGGGGTTTTAAAAAGCTGATGCAAACGTCAGGGGGTTTTTTGTTTTGTTTTTTTAAATAGAAATTGTAATTTTACATTTTCACTTCATAGTTTACACAATCCAATCAGCCAGCCTGTTTCATCTTATTCCCATCCCACTGGCTTTTCTTATAAGAGGTTATAAATAATGGTGATGTTTGAACTTGTGGCCAAACAGGAACACCTGCGCTCTAAAGGGCTTCTAATAGTACTCCACCGTCACACTGAAACCACTACAGGAGTGAAAGCAGTTATTTTTCAAAAACATAACTGATGTCTGTATATTCAGCAGCTACATTATTTCCATTATTTATAAGGACGGCTGCTGATGGCAGGGAAAACCTTTTCTCTCTCAATGCTTTAAATTTAAGTTACTACAGGCACCTGTAATTTAGTGATATCATTATTTAAATATTTATTAGTTTTCATTTTTCCTTTTCAAATTCATGTTTTCTAGAAAGCCATGCTTCTTGGATTATTTAACTCTATTTAAGGCCTGTAAAGCTGTTGCCAACTGGGCATTCAGGTTTAACCTCCTTTGCGGTCTTTGCTTCATATGCATTTTATAAAAGGGAAGCGCATCATTTTGGAGAAAGAAGAAGGGGGGGAAAAAAAAGATGAAGATGGAAAGCGGAGCTCTTATCGATGGGTGTTTATGTTTATCTGTATATATGTTTTTATTGGAGAAGCACATGTCAATCTGTCATCACGAGGATTATGTTTCATATCTGTCGATATGGAAATGTGTACATTGAGTGTCATATGTTATACATAATGTTACATCTTTGGCATTTGATTCGGACAACTGAGTTGCCAATGTTTATTTCATTCATGCTCGTTTTCTTTACCCTCTGCTGAAGAGGACAGAGAACGTACATCCTTACAATTACTACAGGTTTAGTCTACATCCTGTAAATGCTGTCTTGTTTTAATTTGTTGTGTAGTTTTTTTTTTTAAATTTTTTATTATTGACTCTTGAGTGAGGCTGTAGCCAAATGTGTGAAGCTTTAATCCCGACAAAGGCACACAGGCGCCTCCTGTGCATATGTATATACTTGTGTATATATCTTTGTTATATTTGTGTCTGCAAGTGGGATGAACCTATCTACACTGTGGTGTAGCTATTTAAGAAAAAAATACTGTGATGGAGGAAAAATATGTTAATAAACACTAACTGATAAATGTCCATTGTGCACTGTGGGGAAAAAGAAATTGGCAGTAGTCTTTACTTCCTCCTTGTGTGGATTAAAAATAAGGAACTTCTTCTCCATCCAAACATCCCATGTGGATGGATGAGATTCCAAGATGCATTGCTGATCAGTTGTCTCCCTCTATGATCAGAGGGGATTTTGGTCTTTCTGGTCCAGGATTTGTAGAGCTGAAGCAAGTTTATAGCCAGCACAAACACTGGTTTGGGCCTCTGGTAATAATAATAATAATAATAATAATGACCTGATGCACTCTCACTAATACCTCGGCATGCTACTGATGAGACGGTGGATGGTGTTTTAGGGGATATCCTCCCAGACATGGATTATAGCATCAGGGAGCTCTAGGAGAGTGTGGGGACTAGACACAGAAGATGTGACAGAGGTTCTCACAAGGATTCAGGTCTGGGAAACATGAGGACCAGACAGTGGAATTGATAGCAATACCTTCATACAAAAATTCACTATTATACCTAGTTCTGTCCAAACAAAGTCACCCCAGCTGTATTGACACGATGCAGCAGTACCATCTAGTGGTTACACAGCTCAGCAGCAGGTCAAACATGTCAAGGAGCCATTTACCAACTCTGCACAAGAAATTAGTCCCATATTATATATAGTGGAAAAGTCATGAGTAATAACAGGTAACAGAAGAGGCGCAGCATCAGTCAAAGTTATACTAATTTATTAACCAAAAAGGGGAAAAAACCCACCATGAACTCCATGAAAAGTGTTAGTGTGTCAGCAGGCGAATGAATGAACTTTAGGCTTACGGTGTTTCACAGTGCGAAGCCTAAACATAACCAGAGCTGGGTGGATGGGATTAGAGAAGCCCGAGGCAGCTGTTTGCAGTTTAGGTGCTGAAGAATGATATGATCTGTTTTGATATTTGTTCAACTGTATTTTAAGCGTTTTAAGAGAGATCTGCTGAACCGTGTCGTCTTGATTAATCAGTAATGTTTCATTTCATATAATGATACACAATTCGTTACTAACTTCTTTCAAATCAATTTATGACCTTTCAAAGTAATTTGACATCATTGAGGCTTTAGGTGAGAATTGTACTATGATTATGCATATTTTTTTTAAATATAACATAATTAGGCTGTTATTTGCCATTTTTATTGTAAATATTTATCATAAGGGGAAAGGGGGAGTAAAGTACACAATGAGGCCCAGCTTATGTCATCAGCTGTGTTGTTTGCCTCCAAGACGTGTCTTCCCGTCCTCAAACGGGGAAGCGAGTGTGCAAGTATACAAGTACAAACTGTGTGTACTTAGTATTGAGAAACACCTGCTGACATATTTGACCAGATCAGCGTCATCCCTGTGCCCTGGCTCTAATGGGTAAGGCTGACAGATTGCAGATTGCCAAGGAACCATGAAATAATCAATTAAATGGTGAAATAATAAAATATGTTTTCAAAAAAGATTAATTGACATATGTATTTAATACGTTATTTATTTATTTCCATTTTAATTACGTACTCATCCACTTAATTGCTTAATGGTGTATTTAGTGATATAATTTGGCCACTCTTTGCACTCCAACTATGACGAGAGTCCTCGTCGTATTTTCAGGTGTGGCTCTAGTGAAACCCAGTTTTCACATTCACATGGTTTATGATTCATAATGAACTGATCCCATCTAGTGTTCAGTCACGAAATTGCAATAACTGTTTGGTGAATGTTGGTTTTATTTCGCACACATACACGGCGACATTTGGATGAATATTTTCTTCCTGGTAGAATATACTTAAAAAAAAACATCATTACATAAATAAACATTTAACCGTAAATGTTGCCGTAAGATAAAACGATAAAAAAACAAACTGATGTAGTTTCCGTGAACTTTTACTTTGAAAGGAGAACTATTAGCCGGAAGTTGTCCAGTTCCTTTGCCTAAAGGCGGTATTTTATGTCTTATCTCTGACAGTGCGTGCTTTGTGTTTCTCCATAGCGAAGATATTCTATATACCCACATACCCTAAAGAAGCAATCCCGGCAGTCGGCTTTATGTGCTTCGTGGACTCGTGAAACCGGTGTTTGCTAACTGCTTAGCTAACATGGCTGCTAACCCGCCGGGACAGGGCTTTCAGAACAAGACCCGTGTGGCCATCCTGGCGGAGCTGGACAAGGAGAAGAGGCGGCTGCTGCAGAGCCAGTCCATGAACAGCCCCGGAGCCAACATCCCGCTGTCGTCCAGACCCAGCCTGAAGGAGGTGAGGGACAGCGCCGAGCAGCAGCACATCGCAGCCCAACAGAAGGCCGCCCTGCAGCACGCTCACGTCCACTCCTCCGGGTTCTTCATCACGCAGGACTCCTCGTTTGGGAACCTCATCCTCCCGGTGCTCCCCCGGCTGGAGCCCGACTTCTGACTCTAAATTCTGACCCCGACCCCTAAGACATTTAAACTGGTTATTTTATGGTATTGTTGATCTGATGACTGATATTATATTTTATTCTGCCAGGGAGACTAAAAGACGTCACAGACAGAATAAAATATTTGAGCGTAATGTCCTGTGTTAAGCCCTCACAGATTATTCTTCATTAATTATGCGATCATGACTGTGTTTCACTCAGATCAGTGTGAGTCAGGATGAGAAGTCTGCTGCTGGCATAATAACAGATTTTATGTGGAAGGTGCTTTCATCTATGAGAGTCGGAAAAAATCCAAAGAAGCAACAGGATGTAAAACGAGTTTCAGAAATTGTGTCTTCAAAAGGAACTGAATACTGAAGATGCAAGTCTGGATAACCAGATGGAAACAGTTACCGACGTCCTGGAAGAGCCTGAAAACCCCAAGTTTACTGCATACAGTTGCATCACCAACTCATTTTGTTGTTCCTGGTATTTTAGAACCGTTTTTTTAAAGTGTGTTGTACTTTCATATGTCACAGTATTATTAAGATAGCACATTTCAGCCCAGGGGCACTGACTGGTTTGTGAATATCTGGGCTCATAATTGCAATCTATGAGATCTGTGTAGGTTACAACAGTTATTTGCCCGGAATCCCTCAACAGATGACTTACTATGGAAGCACAAACATGAGATGGGTTTAAATAAACTGTTAAACATATTCTGGCATAATTCATATGTTTAATTATACAATTTTCTTTTGCATTTCCTCATTTTATGTTCATTCCAAAGAAATAGATTTGAAACCTTTGTATAACAACTTACACAGAAGACTATCAGGATATCCAAAAGCGAAGGACAGTGTCCTACAGGTGAAGAAGAGAAGGGAGGGTGGAGTGGGTGTGTCAGAAGGATAGCAGCAAGAGTGAAAGGGAATGTTTACAAGATAGTAGTTAGACCTGCTAGGATGTGTGTACAGAGGTGGTGGTTTAAAGGATGCTGAAGGTGGAGCTTCCAGGCAGGAGGAAAAGAGCAGGGCCACAGAGAAGACTGATGGAGGCGATGCAGAGTGAGAGAGGAGAGCGAGTGCTCACACACATACCTGTGTCAACACACCTGTCAGTCAAAGCAACCACTGCCCTCACTTCACTGTCTCTTTCTGAGACAGCCTCAAGTGGCTTAAAGAGGAACTGCAGTTCTCTTTTTTTTGCCGCTTCCTTGTTGGCTTCATTTTTAAATCAAAAATGCAAGAAACAATTTAATTAATCACTGTTCTTCACTTAATTCCTTGACTTATTATAAAAATAAATAAAAACTTTTCTGCTGTCTCACCTCTGTCAGTTTTCATGCTGTTGCAAGAACAGCATGATCATCACCTCTTTTTAACCTAGTCTCAGCAACTTTGTCCCATAGCTTGCACATCCTTTCCACCTCCATCTTTCTTCTCAGCCACCTGATACATACCTTTCCTCCTTCCTTAAAAGCCAGCCTAAGAAATGTGATTTTATAATTGCCCGATAAAGTAAACTGCCATTTTCAAAAATGTTATCATCCAAATTCATGCAGTGTGGCTAAATTAAGAATGAATTACAAACCCTGGCTTCCTTGCTAACATGATTAACAGCTAAATACTATCATAGTGGAGGTGTAACATTACTGCTAAAATAGCTCATATGAACCCTGATACTGACCTATGTATTTATCAAAACAATGTTCCGATATTACAAAGAAAACTAATGATTGCTTTTTACAGTATTAGCCAAGGGCGTAGATTTGGTTTTGGCATTGGTGGGGACGGATGATTCAACCACTGAACCCTGCCCTGTTTCTTATTTTTTTCCTTTTTGTCTTTGCTTCTTGATAAAAAAAGGAGAAATATACTTGCCTACATATGCTATTCTACATGCTTTTAAACCATTTAAAAATCACAATTCATAGTTTTATATGTGAATTATATAATGTTAAATTACTATTAAACAAATGACTAAGTATTTTAGGCTTTAGTTTACTTCCGCCATATTCCATATAAATCAGGTATCATACAAAAATAACAATACCTTCAAATACAGTCATGACAATAAAAGAATATGACTTTAAGGACTTAACAACATTACTTCAGTTATAGTGCACCAACACCTGTTATAGCACTAAGGGAACACTGAATGACCTGGTGGTTTTTGTCCATAAAACTACTCATCTAAGATTATTACAAAGTAAAAGATCTCTCAGCAAAATTATGCAACATTTTAGGCACTATTGCTCCGATCAAATCAGTGAGCTAGGATTTTTTTTATTCTAAACAGGAACTACTGTTACAGCTACTGGTGCCCCACACAACAACTCAATGTCCACTATGTGAAGGAGCCAAACACATGCCTGCTCCTCTCATTAACTAAGATAAACTGCTGGCATATTTGTTTTACATCTATGCTGTCCAGTCTCTCCTGGTGGACATGGCATACAGCAGCATTGTTTAATCTCATTTGAGTCATTGTTAACCGTAGCCATCTTTTTAGTCTTCTGAGAGCACTGAAGCTTCTTTCAGCCTCAGTACCTGCGTTTTATCCTCAGATTAAAATTATTATTATGTGCTTGATGTGCCTCACCTTTGGCCCTGGCTCTTCCCCTCTGACTGCACTAGGACATATTGCCACCTGATAAAATAACACATTGATTCGTGCCATATAAAAAGTGAGACATGTCAATTCAGATTCTTTGTCAAATGTACACTAATGAATATATTTACATCAGCAGCCTAACAATTGTTATGATAATAAATACTAGTTAATCTATAGCACCAAATCATCAGTCAGTCACCTGTGACCTCGCCTCTTCACCTCTGTCCGAGCTACAACATGGCAGAGCTGCCTCTGTCACCTGATAAATAACAGTGAGACATTCCAAATACATGCAGTCACACATGTGCTTCAAATACAGTAATGAACAAGTCATCATCCAATTCCACCTGTGATCTTGCATCACCATTACTCTCTGAGCTTTGTGTTGGTTCTTCTGTCACCTGACAAATAGGACATACATGACAATAAGAATAAAATGTGGAGCTGCTTCAGTGTTTCTGTCAATTTGTGCAGATCTTGACTCATCAGTAATGTTTGTAGGGTGAGTGCATTTGAAAAACAATTTGTGCAAACTGCACTACAAGGTGGAATATTTGCAAAATCATGACTACCTCATGACATTTTGTCTCAAAAATTAACCCTGTGAATATGTCAGTACCATTAGGATGAAATTATTGTGTCACCAACATTTTAACGTTAGACGTATAATTTTAACAGCCTCTGTAAACTAATATCCTGGCTTGCTCGAGGCTCCGTTTTCTCTGACAGTTTCAATCAAAATTAGAAATGCTGCTCTGAGACTGAGAGAACTAATAGTGCCGCCTGTTGTGCAGTTAGTTTCCAAAACACGTTATTCATGGCTACATACAATTTTAGATTGATGCGGGCCAAAGCCTAGCATAGCCTGTAACGTTATTATGACGGACACATTTTATGAGTGAACTTGACCTTAAGTGACTTACAGGTTTCTTTGACAAATACTTTATTATATCCAGGTTCTTCCTTTTTGCTGCCATCCTGCTCTCCTCCTTTCAGGTCCTCACTGCGCAGGCTTGCCGCTGCTAAAACTAAACAGAGCTCCCTGAAAGGCACAGCCAATCACATTGGCCATATTTGTCACATGACGTAGGACTCTTTCTGCACCACTGGGTGAATGAGACGTTGACAGATCGTTTGTTTTTCTTTCTATCGGGTTTGTTTTTCTTTACTCGAAGAGATCAAATTATTGGTGGGGACAATTCAATAATCGCTGGACATGTCCCTTCCGTTCATGCCAAATCTACGCCCTTGGGGTCCGCCTCTTTCTTGCTCCAGAAACAGTTCACTAAAAGTCAAGGGTGACATTGGTCATACACACAACACACCGAGTGCCTTAGTGACAGGAGGGTCTGGAGCACTTTTAAAGCGCACCCAAGAAATCCTGGAGGTGACTGAAATTCAAATTCCAACAGCAGAATGAGTTCTTAATTTTACTACAAGCACAGATCTAAAAGTGGCAGACTGAACTCTTTAGGCCCTTTAGACTTATCTGACAAGAGAAAGAATTGAGTCTAAGCAAATATTCAGATGTCAGAAACTTTAGTAGACCAGTTTTACTTGGAACGCTTCTCTGTTCATTCATATATCTGTCTTTGTGAGTGCGTAAAAAGCTTCCTACAGTCCTAACAAGGACTGTTTTTTGTTTGTTTTGTTTTGTTTTTTAAAGAGGAGGAATCTTTCAGGCTCTACTGCTACTGCCTTGACAGGAATTAAACTTTCAGTTTCAGACAACGATTAGACAATTCTTAAAAAAACAAACAAACCAAAAAACAAGTGGACAGAGCCTTTTAACACTTAACTTGTAACGCTCTGATCATTATATGAAATGTAATGATTTATCATCGTTGTTTTTCAATAAATCTCATTTCCTAGTGTAAGGATGTTGGAGGGCAAAAAAGAAAAAAGTTTTACCAACCGGTAGGACCTGCACTCTGAACTCGATTACTTCCGCCTAGAATCGATAGCAGAGTGGGGGCTGTCGCTGATGCAACACTGACAGGTCCGTTCAGCCGGTTTTCTCTCATCCAGGACTCTTTGAAAGAAGACGGTTTTGAGGTAAGTCGACTACTGTGCAGTGTGATTTTACCGTAGAACGACATTGCTGTGAGATAAACAAAAAAAAATGTAGCAATTAGAAAAAAGCAGCTGAATCGATTATAACCACAGGAAATAGGTAACGTTAGCTGCACATGGTTTTCTCGCTAATTAGATCCTTCATTCATCGGTGGAAGTTAGCTAAATTGTAGGCTACATGCTGAATTTTAGCAAATTTACCGGGAAAAGATGTGCTTTTTCATTTTTCATTTTTAATTTTTCGGCTAATTGCGTCTTTTTCAAAACTACCTTTATGTTCATTGGCTAGCCTGCACAGCCTATGGAGCATCATAGTGAAGTTTATTACATGAATACGGCTTATAGACAGCAAACTGAGCTGCAGTATTTTTAATTTTTTAAAACGCGCAAAATCTATATGCATTACTGTTTTGTTTCAGTGGAAAAAAACATGGCAGTCAGGCGAATGTTAGTCATACCTGTCTGTAGCCAAGATCAACAATAAACCGAAAGCGATTTAACTGGAACTCCCTTATTGAGAACCCCAGGAGGATGACCACTGTGCTTGTGTTACAGTCGGAGTACCCAGCGCCATGGCAGATCAGCTGAGTCCAGATGAGAAATTTAACCTCATCACCAGGAACCTCCAGGTGAGACACGCAGGCAGCTGCTCATTGTTACTGGAGCATACAGGTCACACTCACATGTTTCTGCTCGTGTGTGTGTATTGCAGGAGGTCCTTGGAGAGGAGAAGGTGAAGCAGGTCCTTCAGGAGAGAGCGCTCAGGGTTTACTGGGGCACAGCAACCACTGGCAAACCCCACGTAGCTTACTTTGTCCCCATGTCTAAGATAGCAGACTTCCTCAAAGCTGGATGTGAGGTGGGTGTGGCAGAGCTGACTGTGGTTTTATTTGTAGTTGCTCTTAAATTAAAACAGCCTTTTTACTCCCTCTTCTACCTTTCCTTAGGTCACTGTTCTGTTTGCAGACTTGCATGCTTACCTAGACAACATGAAAGCTCCCTGGGAGCTGCTGGAGCTCAGGGTCAAATACTACGAGCAGGTTATCAAGGCCATGCTGGAGAGCATCAGTGTGCCTCTGGATAAACTCAAGTTTGTCAAAGGAACTGACTTCCAGCTCAGCAGGTCTGTTTGCTGATTCAGAGGCTGATCTGACATCCACTTGTTCAACTTTACAGTCTCTTAAAACTTGCCTGTAGCTGCAGCTTATACTGAACGTGTAGGTGTTACCATGTTTTCCAGGGAGTACACTCTGGATGTGTACCGCCTGTCCTCCATGGTGACAGAGCACGATGCTAAGAAGGCTGGAGCTGAGGTGGTGAAACAGGTGGAGCATCCTCTCCTGAGTGGTCTGCTGTACCCCGGCCTACAGGTAGTAATGCTGTTCATAGAATTGAGATGCTGGTGTCATCACACTGTGACAATGCAGTAGTTGAAGTTTCTCAGATGTGTCCGTGTCACAGCTTAGTATTATTCACAGTAACCGTATCTTGTGTTTTTCCTCATGCCCTCAGGCTCTGGATGAGGAGTATTTGAAAGTGGATGCTCAGTTTGGAGGTGTTGACCAGAGGAAGATTTTCACTCTGGCAGAGAAGGTATCCTACACCTTTGCACATTTACAGACGTTTTTCCTTTAGTTTTAGCTCAAGTCCTCTGCAGCCTCCCAGCAGCGCACAGCTGCTAATGACTCTTTAGTCATTAGCAGCACTAATGTACTGGATTCCTTTGAATCCAGTACATTAGTGCTGTGACTTATCATACCTTCCACAATAACACTGGTATATCTTGTGAAACTGGTGATATAGTGATGCATTTCTGTTTGCTAGTGTGGGCAGCAATGGCCTAAGCCCACTTATGTCTGAGTGCGAGAGCGGTGTGTGAGCTTCCAATGACGATTTGTTACCTAAAAAGGGAGCAGCTGTATGCCAATAGTGTGGTAGTGGTTTGCCTGTAAGCGGCACGCACTTTGCAAACTATGAAAGTAAACGGTAAACATCAAACCGGTTTCACTACTTGATGCAGAAACGCACTGAGAATATGAAAACAAAGTTGAAGGAGGAAATCCGCGAGAGATATAAAAATATCTCTTATAATATATAAGATGAGGAAAATAGTGGACAATACCTCCCACCCACTCCATGACGTGCTGGCTAGTCACAGGAGCACGTTCAACGAGAGACTGAGATTCCACAAATGCACCACCAAGTGACAAAAGAAATCATTCCTGCTTGTGGCTTATATCCCAGTACAACTCGTCCATCTAAGGCACAGTACAAAGTCAATAGTTACACCCTTTTTAAACATCTTCTAAAGTGAAAGTAACAAATAAACCAACTTTACTGGTTAGAGTTAAGTGTCAGTCATATATATTTCATCTCTGTGATATTCTGGATATTCATAATTGAGCTATTTGTATATATTATATTACATCCAGAGAGGAATGGGAAGTTCATTTACTTTCCTCTTCCTGCACTCTTATGAATGTAGTGTGCTGTAGGGATTACTTTTTTAACCCCGAAGTTAGCCTGACTTTGATGCTTCAAAGGTCGTGGTGCTCTCACAAAAAGCCAAACGAGTTTTTCTGTTATAGAAGATGTAGAACATTTATTCTGTTATTATCAGAGCGTCAGATCCAGTTCTTTACCTTTCTGAGAATTTTAAGGTTTTCTCTCATGTCAGCTTCTATATTTAGTTACATGTGAAAGTGTGATAACAGACTAGTACAGAATTGATAACGTTCAGCTGTTCAAGCTTTTAACCTGTGTTGTTCGGCAGTACCTGCCCTCTCTCGGCTACGCTAAACGTGCCCACCTGATGAACCCGATGGTGCCGGGGCTGACGGGGGCTAAGATGAGCTCTTCAGAAGAGGTAAGGTCATATAAACTTAGTTTGTCATGGAAGGAAGTGATTGGAGTTCAAGATTTTGACGGGAAATTTTCTCAACACGTCGTCCATCTCCATTTTATTATCTGTTTTTGCTTCCAGGAATCGAAAATCGATCTCCTGGACTCCAAAGAGGATGTAAAGAAGAAGCTGAAGAAGGCTTTCTGTGAGCCGGGCAACATCCAGAACAATGGAGTTCTCTCTTTTGTCAAATATGTTCTCTTCCCTCTACGAGGAGGTAGAAACAATTTTTCAATCTCTTCCTGAAACCTGGCTTCAGACTTCCTTTTTTTTCGGCAAATCAATTTGAATAATCAAATGAGTTGATCATTTGCACTGTTGTGTTTCAGTGTTCTCCATCAAGAGAGATGCAAAGTTGGGCGGAGACAAAGTTTACAGTGCGTTTGAGGAAGTGGAGAAGGACTTCGTTGCAGAGGTGAAGGACGCCTTAACTGGTTTATTTGAACAATGAAGTCTTCCCGTAACGAGCTCTGAATTAACCTGTTGTTAACTGCTGTTTATAGATAATCCACCCTGGAGACCTGAAGGCCTCTGTGGAGGTTGCACTAAATGAGCTACTGGAGCCAATTAGAAAGAAGTTCGAGTCTCCTGAGCTCCGTAAACTTACCAGCGACGCCTATCCTGATCCCTCAAAGACAAGTCAGTGTCAAACCGTGTGGCTGCTGTGGCTTAAAGCGGGAGTGGCTTCATACTAAGACTTAATACTGTCTTACTTGTGTGTTATTAGAAGCAGGAGGGAAGGGCGTTAAGGCCGGAGGAGGAGGAGATGGTGGTGGAGGAGTGGACGATGAGCTGGCTCCATCCAGACTGGACATCAGAGTGGGAAAGATCCTCAGTGTGGAGAAGGTAAGTTATTGTCATTTCATTATAATCAGAACTTTTACATCATTGGATAATCACTGTGGAACTTAAAAGTAATTTCCCCCCTCTGTAGCATCCAGACGCTGAGTCTCTGTACCTGGAGAAGATCGATGTAGGAGAGCCTGAGCCGAGGACGGTAGTCAGTGGGCTGGTGGCCTACATTTCACAGGAGGACCTGCAGGACAGACTGGTGTTGGTGCTGTGCAATCTGAAACCCCAGAAGATGCGTGGGATCGAGTCTCAAGCCATGCTGCTGTGTGCCTCTATGTGAGTTTCATTTTTGGGGGCTGGGTTGTTTTGTTTTTTTGCACAAAGTGAAATTTAGCTTAAATTTCCAACTCCTCCGATTTCTGTTTGTTTTCCAGTGAGGGCGAGCCCAGAAAGGTGGAGCCTCTGGATCCTCCAGAAGGTTCGTTGCCAGGGGACAGGGTCTTTGTGGAAGGGTATGAGTCAGGCAAGCCAGATGATAGGCTTAACCCAAAGAAGAAGGTGTGGGACAAACTCCAGGTATGTGTCTTTATGTATGTTTAATGTTAAACCGCTGTATTTTTCCCCCTCTACTAAAGAGCTAACATTTAAAGTACAGACTATAAAATCATGTGTGTTATCTGGTATTTTAGGTTGACCTAAAGATATCAGACGAGTGTGTAGCTCAGTGGAAAGACAAGCAGCTGATGACCAAACTGGGGCAGATCACATGTAAGACGCTCAAAGGAGGGAACATCAGTTAAACACGCAAACGCTGAAGCTGCTCCTGCTCGCAACAGCAACAGTACTTCCATCGAGTCGCCATGGCAGCAGCATCGAGCTTCATCTGGATGTTTCCTGAAGAGTGACGGCACATGATGCCTTGTGTCTTACATGTTTTAAACTCTCTTAGACAAATTCTGAAAACCTGATTCATTACTTTTCCTTTCTTTGAAGTTGTTTAGTGTTACTAGTACACATATGGGGGAAGAAAGGGCTTTTTCAGTTAAAGGACTCTGGTCTTTATAGCTTATTCGTGGAAGTAGCCAATGAAAAATATCTCGGGTTTCCTAAAAGGGACTGAACGTTTTCTTAGTTACCTGTTTTACTGTTTGCCTTCATGGTAAATGTGAACATCAGGACTGTGGCCAATCTGCCAAATCTGCTTACTAAGCATAGTTTTATGGGTTCCCAACATCCTATGTATCTAAAAATCAATATGCCTTGTACTATATGCTGGTTGTATTTTGACTAATGTTGCACAGAAATCCAGATCTGAACATTAGTTGTTATAATCAAACCATGCATCATCATCTCTAATGTGTAATAAACACTGGTTGAAGTCTGAGTGAGAATATCATTTGTGATCCGTGAGAAAGTTTCTGAACTATGAACACAGGAAACAGTTTAATACACTTAAATTTTATTTATAGAAGTAATAACTGCACATATTTCTCTATAATCAGCAAAACAGAGATTTTTTTGACCCTGTGTGAGGAGTCCGTGTAATTCACTCATCAATGATTCTGAGAGGGGGAAAGTTTTGTGCAAATATATTGAGCTGTATTTGTTTTCCACCATAAAAAGGCTAACAGAGTTACAGAACATGTATTAAAGTGGACCCATCGTGCTCAGTTTCAGCTGCATGTCTTTATCAATGGATGAAGTAGTTTGCATGATTCACAGTTCAAAATATTAATGATATATATTTTTTTAAACCCAGGCTTTAATTCATCAACCATCTGAAACAAGTTGTTTTTGTCTCTTTCCCCTCAGTTTAAGCAAACGTTCTCCTGATTGGCTGCTCCTTAACAGGCCTGTGTACTCAGTGCTGTGTGCCTGAGATTCCCCACTCTCACTTACATTAACATCCAAAACTAAAAATTGCCATCTGAAACTGAGGCGTGATGTCTGAGCTTTTGGTTCACAGGGATTACAATAATAGGTCCGCTTTTGAAAACACTGACATCCTGCTCCAGTGTAATGGTCCTCCAGGGCCAGTCACCCCAGTCGTAGCCTTAAAGGTGGTTTTCAGATGAAACAAATTCTTAAATATTTCATATTTGGTAGGAAAAGGTGACTGACAGTGCTACTGGTGAAAACAATCACACATAAATAAATAGGATACTGATGAGCTGGCTTTGCAGTCACCCAAGAATTGCTAAAAAAAAAAAAAAAAGCATCTACTTGATATTTCACCTACTCCCGTATTTAGATGCTTTTATTCTGTTAAGTCTGAACTATTTAGCATATGTTGTTTACAAAAGTGCATCTCAGGAAAACAAAAACACTGAATTCTTAAGTATGCGGCATCCCTTTTTGACAAATGCTTTCCACACCAAAAAGCGTGAATGATGCTAAGCTCAGTAATTTCTTCACTCAGTCTAAGTAAGGAATGGATATCCTGTCCCACAGTGGATGCTTTTGTCAGACAATATTGCAATATATATAATACAAGAGGAGGGGGAAACAGACCATCTATGTACAGAAATGCTTTTTTTTCGAAGACAAGTCGTTTTCTCTGAGTTGAAATTACAACTACCTAATGGAACCTCTGGGAGGCGATCTAACACAAGCTAAATATTTGCAATTCAGCCAATGTACAGTGCTTCACCCTGAGGGGCCTCAGTAGGACATAAACTATATTTTTAGAAAAATACTCCAGAATAAAGCTATTTTAAGAAATTGGGAGTGATACTTTTTTTTTTTTTTGCATAAATATTAAGGAAGGCCAATACAGGCTAAGGCTTTTTGGAGGAAATGCACACAAACACTTAGTTAATGTCTCTTAATGTCAGTCAGTCTCTCTTGTGAGTTGTCCTTTTTCTGTTCCTCTGGTATCAGCCTGGTTCTTGTTTAATCACCAAAGAAGTCTTTCAGAACAGTGTTTCAATTGTGTCCGCTGTTACTCTGGTTGCTGGAGGGGGAAGACAAGTGGTGGTTAGACATTATAGCATCACCATAATACAGTTACAGGAACACGCTTGATGAGTATTCCTTCCTAATCTAATCGAATTACTGAGACATGATCACGAGCTTCAGGTTACGGTTAATTAAAGCACATGCTTGCGCATTTAACTGGAGAAAAAAAACGTCTGTAGGCAAACCAGCAGCATCTGTACTGGGCTTGTGCAGGAGGTGACTCTTATTCTGCAACCTCTGCTTTGCATTCTGCTTCTTCATGGCAAGAGTTGGAAGAGTTATTTATTCATGCTGGTACAGAACAAACCTTGAAGCTGTTGCAAACTCAGCAGCAAAAACACCAATGAAGGCACAAATATAATGATAAACTTACTTGTTGTTTCAGACAGGTTTATTCCACTCCTATGTTCTCCTCCTACTACTGCTCCATTCCCTTTGACATTGACCTCCATCTTTGACAAAGAATTCGGAAGACTCGGTGAAGAGTTGATGCTGCTTTGCGTCGGCTTCTTGGCTACAGGTGGAGGAACTTTATCGCACTTCACTCCATCAAATGTAAACACAGAAGCCTTGGATTGATCGGACACTTGCATGAGCTCAGCTGCCAAGCTTTGCTTTAGATTTGCCTGAGCGTCAGGGGATGAGGCAGTCTCTATGACAACCTTTTTTGTGCTCCTAGAGAAGATAAAGCTAGCAGTAGAAGCTGGAGACTTGTGCATGTCATACCCTTCGTGTGATTTCCGTGAAAAAGCTCCTGGGTCACTGACGCAGCTGTATGTTGATGATTTCACACCCAGTTTGGAGGGCAGACCATCTCTTGAAGACATTGCTGCAGTTTTCATTCGTATGGCTTCCTGTAAGCGCATTGAAGGACTGGTCATTGTCACAGAGGATGATTTAATGGCCTGAGGGGGAGATTTCAGTGACAAAGACTTGCGGATGGGTTTTTGAGGAATGTTTTGAGATCCTTGGATAGAAACTGGGGAATTATCCTTAACTGGTGCCTCCTCATTTGTGGACTTGTCCTCTGGCGGACTTTGCACCTGATCTTCGGTCATGTTGACTGATCTCAGGCGAACCATTTGAAGCAGGGAAGGGGTGACAAGAGGTATGTTAGCATCCTCTTTGGGAATGGGAACACTTTTGTGGCGGGAGAGGAGCTCCTTGGTCCTGGCATCTCGATTTGCTAGGCTGGAATGTCTTCTGAAATTAACTCCATGAGTTAAATTATCTGACGGTAGAGGAGGTGCTACAGGCACAATCAGAGCTGAAAACTGAGTACTGATGGACACAGGGGGATCTTCAATTTGCAGAGAACCTCGCTTCTGGAAACTGTCGGGAGGATCTACAGCTGTGTTTGGTACTGGGCTTTCTGCTCTTTTCATACTTGGTATAAGAGGCGATTCCACTGGTGGAGGCAATACAGTCTCTAAAGCAGATGAAGAAATCTCCTCAAAAGCTATAGATTTTGGAACCTGCACGTCAATCACTGGTTCTGTGTCGTTTATAACTGGTTGTGGAACAGTTGGGTGCAAATCTGAACTCTGTACAGTCTGCACATTAGGGTTGCCCAACTCTGTGACGCAACCAGCCATCACATCTGGTGCACTCTCGGTTATGATGGATGGAGGAGGAGGTGGAGGAAAGTCAACCTCATCCACTCCATCAAATACAGAGTCCCCTTCCAAAGGAGGTGGTGGAGGTGGCCAGGAGGACTCTACAATGTGGATCTCCTCCTGTACCCTTTGTAAATCATTTGGAGGTGTAGATACTGCTGAGGGAGGTGTTTTCCTTGATAGAGGCGGTGTCGGGTGGTATGCTGGGGGAGGGGTAGGTGGCGGAGAAAACTTATTGATTCTGGGGACCTCTATTGAAAGTGTTTGCATGGACTGGACTTCACTTCTGTCCGTCTCAGCCTTGCTCTCGTCAAATAAAGCTGTCACACCTTTCTCTAAAGACGTGTAGTTCTCCACAGATACAGTGACCTCTGCTGTGCCACTCGTTACATTGTTCTCTTTCTCCACTGACTTCTCCGCCAAGACCATTTCCCCTTTGTGCAGTAGTGTCATGGGTTTCTTCATGACAGGAGGGGGATCTTTCTTTGGAGTTGTCCCTTGACTCTCTGGCTCCTTCATTACAAAGCTACTACTCTGTTCTTGCTGCTGAACATCTACGCTTGCTTTTCTTTTGTCCTGGACGAAAGATGTTTCTTGTTCTGGATATTCCTTACCCTCCTGCACCACATGAACTCTGTCAGGATGCATTGTTGATAGTAACTCAGGCTTTGCTTGAGTTTTGGAAAGTTCTATGATAGGTTTGTCTGTAGCTGTTTGAATTTGATCCAAAACCTGCATCTCTTTCCTAGTTTCAGTCTGGGTTCCTGTGTCGTTACTTGTGCTTTCCTGTACTTGTGCTGCTTTTTGTTTAACATTAGGGCAAGGCCCACAGAGGAGCTCAAAGGTGCGTCTGCTGTGGACCCATGTCTCTGGAGGAGGAGGACATGGTGCTTTGACTTTAGGAGGTGGTGGGATGTTCAATAGCTCATTTACTTCCTCTCTAAAAGTTGAGGTATTGTTCTTCAGTGCAAGGTCTTTTGTAGCAACAGTTGGTGAAGATCCCTGTGGAGGCTGATTTGAGCTACACACAGAAACTTCTGTATTGGCAAGCTCAGATGTTCCAGATGATAAAGACGTAACTGAGGATGAAGGAGATGCTGCTGAGGATGAGGCTCGCGACGCTGATCTTTCCGGCTTGACTGGTTTCTTCTTCTGCTTGTCTGGAGAGGTTGGGGAGATCCCTTTTGGAGAAAGCGTTGGCGTGCCACTCTGACTAGAATAACCACTAGATGGAGAAATGGTCCGTTCAAATTTCCCATCCTCTGGTGGAACTTTCTGTGGGGAGGAACTAGATTCTGGAGATAGCCCATCTTCATTTGAAGATGCCTTAGCAGAACTCAGAGGATTGGTGGAAGAATCTGGAGAGCTTGACCTAAGGAAGTTTGATACATCTTCGGGTATCTTAGTGCTATTTGTAGAAACCAACTTTGTCTCATCCTCTGGTACAATATTCTCTCTAGTAAATGTCACCTCCCCAGAAGCAGAGTCATTAAGACTTTTGTTATCCACAATAACCACCCTGGAGTTACCTCTAATCTTATTACTGTGCAGAGAGTTTGATCTACGTGGTGGTGCTGGAGGTTGCTTGGTCTTCATAACTGAAAGGCTACGTTTCTTTTTATTCTTTGCTTCTTCTCCAGCAGCCACTGCCACCGATTCACCAGATTCTGTTGCTGGTCTTGTAACAAGGTTTTCACCTTTACCGCTAGGGCTGCTAATCGCATGAACAGAGCTACGGAAACTAACAAGGTCCTGATCCCCAGCAGTTTGTTTGGTTTGCCCATTTAGACATACTCTCTGTGAAGAGTTACTGCTTTGTGTGCTACCCTTGGAGGACAGTGGGGATGAGTTTGAAATAATGGTCTCAGAAGACTTTGACTCACTCCAGTTTGACCCTGAAGCTGATGTGGCCAGTGTGGAGTCATTGTGATAATGGTTTGTCTGGGAAGTGTCACCATCTGATCTTCTGGATAGCAAGGGGCTGACTGCCGAGTCCCCAGATGCCAGGCTGCTTTTGCTTACAGTGCGAACACTGCTGCCATGGTTGACACTGCTGCCATGGTTGACACTGCTGCCACGAGTCCGGCTGGTACTGCGGTCAATCTCAATGAATTCAATCGATGCTGGCATTATAGCATTAGGAATGATTGTAGACAAGTAAGTGGCCTGTGGAGAGATAGACATCACTGGCCCCTGAAAGAAAACAGAAAATGTTTCACATGTAAATGTGACAAATCGCCAATAATCAACTAGGAATTAAAAACAAAGTTCACACAACTAATTTAAAGACAGTTTTCTTATCTAACAGCTTGATTTAATTCCTACCTGGGGTTCCTGGAGGAAATTAAACATTGAAGGAGATAAAGAGGTGGATGTTGTCATGCCAGGTACTGCAAGAGACTTGGGTCTTAGGTTGGAGGTGGGAAAGAGATGGGAACCAAAGTCCTGGTGGTCCTGGAGATGCTTCCTCACCAGCTCTTCACCTCTGAATGCCTGCTTAGAGTGGAGTGGAGTGGACCATTCTTGAAATATAAAAGGCATATTAAACTTATAACATATATCAAAGCTATTTACAATGAATAGGTTCTTTCTGAATAACTCTTTACCTCCAGCTCTGAAACATGTACCCTTGCTCCCAACTTATTTGCGACTGGAGTCCCATCATCTGTAGAAATGGTGATGACACCTGATGATTGGCTGTTACTGATCTGTGTGTTGACAGAGACCTCAGTAGAAACAAGCGGCTGAAAGGTGGAGTTTCTGTTTAGGCCTGTGAAAAAGGTATATCACTGTTAGCACCATTAGTAACATGGTAATATAGTTTTAGTTCATCATCAACAAAGAACAATACTTTGAGCGTACCAAGTTCTTTCTGGACCTGGTTGGGAATACCCATGATGGTGGTTCTCCTGGTCTTCTTCTTGCTCTTATCTTGTCTTTTGATTGGATTCAGGGGCTTGAATGTAGAACCTGTAAGTAAAAAAGCAAAACTTTCACATGTGCACATTTCAGGCTTCAATATTCTTGTCTGATTTTTCGCCGCACATTAAAAACTGAATTGTGAATTCTTTGCTTTGCAGGTTGTGTTGTGCTGTAGAACTGCCAAAGCCCCATCTCATGTTCATGCTAACTGCTAATTGAAATTCTGTTGACTGTCCTTTTTAGTGATTAATTCTGGTCATTATGACAAATGTGGCAGCAAATTTCAGGTATTCCCACAACCAGGGAGAAGGAGCAAGTTTATGCTAATCCTTCCTAAGAATCTAATCTCATATTTGCAGCTCTTTAAGGCTCTACCTAAGCTAGATGTTACCACCAACATGCTAGCATGCCTATAATGATTATCCTAGCATAGTAATGGGATGCAAGTATCCGGTTAAAAATCTTCTACTTTTTGGTGTAGCCCATTAGAGTGACAATTAGTACCAAACAGTATGAATAAAATGGATGGAAATGTCATTAGTTTTTCAAGTAATACATAACAGATTCTGGAAAAATAAAAACAAATTTAAGAAAAATACTTAATGCCTAAATATTCCGAGCTGGCAGCCAGTTTCAGCAGCTTATTCTAAATATGTATGCACATTTTATGATGGCACTCAAGGAAAGGTCAGTGTTTCAACAACATATGTAGGCGCCATGGATATCTATATAGGATTAATGGTAATGTTTCCAGTATGTACTGACATATTTAAGGGAGATGATCAATCTTAGGGCCAGATTGCTGGCATGACTAAAAAAAGTTGTACACTCATTGGACACAAGATTTTGCTCAGTATTGAAATGATAGCATCATGTAGTTGCTGCAGATGTGCCGTGATGCAAATCTCCCACTTCATCATATCCCAGAGGTGCTCTACTGTATTGAAATCTGGTCACTTTAGAGGCTATTTGAGTACAATGAACTCAATTTTATATTAAGGAAATTCATTTTAAATGATTTGTGACATGGAATTTCAACCTCCAGTTGTTGGAAGAAGTGCACATTGTGGTCATAAAGGAATGGACATGGTCAGCAACAATAATCAGCGAGGCTGTGGTACTTAAACAATGATCATTTGGAACTTAGGGGGCAAGAATGTGTGGCAAGAAAATATCCAACACGCCATTATACCACTGCCACCAACCTGAACCACGCTTTCCATGTTATTTATGCCAAATTCTGACATTCCTAATCCTAATATGGCAGCAGAGATTGAGACTTGAACTTCAGAAGATCATATTGACCATGTCTACATGCCTACATGGAATGCTGTCATATGATTGGTTGATTAGATACTTACTTTAACAAGCAGTTGAACAGGTGCACCCAAAAAAGTGGCCAGTAAGAACAGTGCTTAAATACTGGGAGCAGTGAAATATATTATATATAAAGTAAAATATATTAGGCACTTTTCTTCTCTTGATAATTTTTAAGTTTTTTTTTTGTAAATATATGATCTGAATACCAATTAGACTCCCTGCATGCACACACAGAATGGCACGCTTTCCCCTTCAGCTGTGATGTGTAGAGCTGCTGTGATGTCTTTAGATGTTTAGAACTCTTTGAGTTACAGAAAAAAAATCTTCAGCTGTGCATAAGAGTATGTTAGTATGAGTGTGTGTCTGTGTATCGAGTTCCTCCTCCTTTGATTTCACACCATAACTGCAGAGGCACCAAGTAGCTGGAATGAGACGTGCATGCTAAATAAGTACCCACCTATGATTCACCATAAAGCAGTAAATTCAGGAACAAAGCTCAAACTGCTCTCATGGGCACTATGATTAGCTCCTATTCCTCTAAGATGAAGGCAATACATATCCCTCCTTTCCAAGTTCTACACACACAAGCAGAGCTGTTTCTTGCCTTGGCGGGTAAGTGCAGGTCTAGTCATCGCAGCAAAGGTTACTGTGCTATCAGTATTCCCAGAGTTGTCTCTTGACTCTGGAGATGCATCTCCATCCTTGGAATTGATATCCTCCAGATGAAGAGTGTCTGTGGACTGCAGGGATACACACATACCGACACACATAGAGGTGTGTAGTTAGGTAGCTGTCTTTGCTTTGAGGAATAACGAGTAAAATGATCCACAGAGCTTTTAGGGCACTTACAGCAATGCTTTCACTGTCAGGAAAGTTCCCTCCATTCTTGTGTTCTGAGAGATCCAAACAGACAAGTTTGAAAAAACTGAAGCTCCATATACAATCACTCTTATATAGACATGCAATCATTTATGTAACCATAGATTTAAAAAAAAAAAAAAGTGGGATATACAAAAATCTTCAGTTTAAGACCTAACAAAATGTTATGTTATGTCATATTGATATCAAGAATCAAATGAATGTGCCTTACCTTCCTGCTGTTGTATCTTGAGTCCCTCTTGAGCTTCAGTGTGCAGGTCTTCCAAGTACTGAGGCCTGCTACCCTCAATGAAAACATTCTCCTGGTAGTGCCGCGAGGCTGTATAATGGACTGTCAGCCTCTTCTGGTCTTCATTCACCTTGGGACCAGCTGTTGATATAATAAGAAAAAATAGTAAAGGTCAAATCTATTTGGTATTTTATACCTTTAAATGCCTGAAATTCACCAAAAAGAATGGTCTTAATTTTGTAACGTGCACTGAAACGTCCAGGTATATTATAAAAAACAATTTCTGCACTCCAACCATGTCTTGCAACAACTGTGATGTCTACCCATCACTGTCCTGCTCAAGGGCAAGGTCAATGGGATGGCACAGCTAACAACAAAGACACAAAACCACCGGTTTATGCCTGTTAGAGCAGGGGCAACACACTCACAGAACTGGAGTTATATCGAGTTTATATCAATTTGTTTTGGAACCCTATTGTGTGACAGAACCTTTATTCACACATATTGTAACATCAGAACTACTAATTTTGGCAACAGCATTTATCCAGAATTATTCAGAATTAAAACAATAGTGAGACATCAACTCTTTGCACTATCCCAATGAAAGCAGTGGTGTTAGCATAAATACAGACATTTATCAACTTGACAGAGAACTTGCTTCACTTCCACCTGATAAGAATGTGCGTTTGTCAGCGCACCTTTAATGCAGCGCTCTTATTAAGTCTCCTCATCCAAGTTTGGCGTGCAGACATCCCAGTCTGGCCAGGCCCTCGGCAGTAAACTATGGCCTGGCTAATCTCCTGCAGTATCTTGCTTCCTTGTAAACCCCGCAGGGATTACTGCCGATAATCTGTCCTCATGCAAGGATGCTGCAAGAAACCCTGCTGAAATATTAACTACAACACACATACCTCTTACTGATCAAATAAACAGACTATTACAAAAACAGGACTCCTGTGTGGGAACTGGACCAAGCTCTGTCTCTCTGCAGGACTGCTTTGCACGACATCAAATGACAGCTAAGGAGCTGATCCCAGCTGACACTGGGTAAGAGGCACCCTGGACAGGTTGCCAGTCCATCACAAGGCAAACAAAAAGAGAGAAAAGCAATAATACAAACCTTTAGCTAACGTAGAATCAACTGACCAAACATTCATGTCTTTGGCATGTGGGATAAAATTGGGGATTCTTGCCTTCTTGTGTAAACCACAGTGATGGCAGCTACATCACAGTGCTACATCTAGGATTCTGAACCACAAATTCATGAAAATCTGCACAACTGTGTATGAACTGGGAAGTCATTTCCATGGGAAATCAGTCATGCAAATTGGCTAAAATCTTAGCTGAGCAAGGGTCAGCGTGAGTTGTTCCTTTTCCTTCCTTTATCGCTCCCACTGGTTCCCAGTTAGGATGGACTACACTCAGTTTAGTCTATAAACTTCCACTTGACAACTGTGAGCATCTCATGACAATTACTCAAATATGTAACACTTTAACCAGTAGCAACAAATAACCGAAGAAGCAGCCCTCCCTGATACTCTGCCAGACCCCTGCAGGAGGTTTAGGGATTTGGGTTGATTAATACGATTCCCCCCCAAAAAGTCAGCAAAGAGCTTTATCTCATTAGACAGGACCTCCAAATTACCTTCAACACTAATTCTTACACATCGGTGTGTTTGTGTTTGTGAACTGTTGAGGTAGATGTCAGTTAAAATGAAAAAACAGTACTTGCTTTTAAGGTATATTTAGTATGATAAAAAGCTTGGTTAAACAATCAATCACAGCAAAGTTAAAGAGATTTACTGCAGCCTCCACGTGAGTCGGCACTCACCCTTTTTCTTGAAGATGGACAGCAGAGAGTGGATGCTCTTCCTCAAGTAAACAACCATGCCTACACCAGTGCCATAACAAAACCCACACTCAAAACGCCAGAGCAAAGCAAAACAGAGTCTAACAAGTCGTCCTTCTGTCAATTTGACCTGCGATTGAGATCCGCATGCCTCGACTGAGGAGGCAGAGCTCGACAGCAGTGATCGCAGGTGCTTCTGCAGAGACTTGGAGGGACTTGGGAAGGACAAGCGCACAATGAGATCTGCTTTCAGCCCAGCTGCCTTATCCCCGAGTCTGATACCCTCCTCCCTTCCCCCGCTGCTCTTTCTCTCTCATGTCTGTTTTGCTCACACAGGCTCCCTCCATTGCTATTCCCTCCCCATTGTCAAATGATGAACCCCTCCCGCCAGCAAGACGGCTGTCAAAGTTTGGCTTTCAGGAGGCGACCAGCCCCCCACTTCACTCAGTATAGACAGACACGTGTGGAGCTTTGTGCACACACTCCACCAGTGCAAACCCAGTTAAAGCTTCCTTATGCTAATTAAAACAAAGCTACCCATGAAAAATGTTCCAATATAAGAGAGCTAATTTCTGCATATTCTACCATAGATTCTAAAACTACCCGCTTGGTCACTGATATAATCTGAAGTTGTGGAGCTTCTACATCCCTACTGGAAGCCTTCAGCAGTATGCATGTGTCTGACACTGTGTCTCATTATCTAAGGGCTACAGGGGCTGCATTTGACAGTGAAGGTTGTGTCCTCACGATGAAAAGCTATGCCGTTCCAGTTTTATTCTCTTATGTCTCCCTCCATCACTTTTTTCCCAGTACCCTCACTCCCCTGCCTGTCTCTGCCAATCTCAACTCCTTTACATCTTTCTATAGTTCTTCCTTCTTCCTGCCTGCCCCTTTAGCCTTATATCTAACAAAGGTCTAATTTGAGTTATAAATAGCTGACAGCGCCTCAGTTCATCATCTGTCTGCGGATGAGTTCCTGCTAATGTTTCCTGACAAACTGCAGAGGGTATGAAATATAACACGGCTTCAGGACAACTCAGTTAATGTGGATTCGGTGCCAAACAAACGATCAGTACTGCATCCCGGGATTGCTTTCCTGCTGGTGAAGATGCAGCACTTTGATTCTCTTGCCCCCTGAATGGGTGTTTTTCTACAATAACAGGGTCACAGCAGGGGGCTACAGCTGGCTTGCACCAGCTGGAGGGTAGTAATGCAATTACCTTCAATCATTCACTTGCTATCCCTCCACATACAGGAATCCTGGCACTGGTAAAATAAAAGTGGAGCTTCTCCCGTAAAGAAATCTGCACCCCAGTGCCCCAGGGTCAGACTGCCCAGCCCGGGGTGCTGGCAGTGGTTCAACCTCAGTGTGGTGAGCCCAGGCTGGAATATACAGAGGCGTTCAGGAGCTTTAGACCTGGGAGCCGTGCCAGAGGATTAACTCTGCCACCAGATTAACCTGTCCATCTCCTCACCTCATGCTCCCACTTGCCTCACCTTTGTCATCTCTCTGTCTTACCCATTTATGCCATATCACACTTTGCACCACATCTTTGCTCTGCATCTCATCTTCAAGTGTCTGGATGACATCGCCAGGCAACTAATTCAGTCTCATCACTGTCTAATCCATATTAATATCTTACCAATATGAGACAAGAGAGAGCTTACGGGCATGAGAAAGGAGCTTTGTTGCAAGTCGCAAACGTTCCTTTTCTTCAGATATAAATCCCCTGCACACCCACTCCCCTCACCACAGACCTTTACTACATGCCAGTTTTGGGGGTCCCTGGCCCAACATATGCACCCTCCCCCCTCTTGTTAACTAAGACCCCTCATATCAATATTCATTAGAATGCCTAAAGAGACACCATCTGGTCCTGGTGGAGAGGGCAGAGGGGAGCGAGGGCCTTTAGTACACACAACAAACCATTCCACTGCATAAGCTAAACAAAACAGAAACTAACGGACACTAAAGCCTTTCTAACGCAGGTTTCCAAATCAGTTCAAGGTGTCAGGTCAAAAGATGGAAAAAAAAAGCCAAATATTTACTTGTAAAGTGCTACGTAGCCTACTTCCTTCAGCACTTTTAAATCAACTGGTGTGCCTTTTAGGGGACAATCAGAGGTTGTTTTACAGCCTTGTCTTTGTGAGTCTAAAGATAATATCATAAATCACCAGTGCCAGACTGTTGGGCTTGTTTGCAGGTCAAATAGTCTGTGAAAGAATAATCAGAGCTCAGACAGCCAACAAAACCTGCTTGTTAAAAGGTCACAGGCACAAAAATACAGCCCATGCTTCATTAGCAACAGTCACATTTAAAATAACGATAATGACTTGGGATGTTATTTTCCTTTAGCCTTCTGATTTGCATCTTGTATCAGAGCTCCAGCCAGGTGTGTGATCTGCTGAAAAGGTAAAGTGTGTGCAGTTTGGAAGAAAAATGTCTATTTGTTTATTTGAACATCCCATTTTTTAAAACTCATATATTTAAATTCAATATTTTATGGTTTTTAAGATCTCTTCTCACACTCATTTGTCATAATAAACCTTCCTATAGGGTTGTTATTTACAGATGTTTGACCGCTGATCAAATAAAACCACACATTCAAAGTTTCTCTGTGTAACCACGTGAAGCATTTTTCATGTGTCTTGATGCATGCTCAATCATTCAGGTAAAGAAATCCCAAAAAGTTGATTCAGCTTTTTTATGTATTTAACACAAAATACATGAATACATTGTTAATTTAAATTGGAAATGAATAATATTAATCAGTGAGCTTAGAAACAGTACTGACCACTAACATCAACAAACAATTCCAACACAAACTCCAAAGTGGCAGAAACACTGAATTACAATATGTCTTTAAATAACATTTAACTACTGATAACATTATCAGGGAAGGAAACTAAGTTGGGCAGTTAGCTGCTACATTAGCAGCTTTGTTTAGTGATGTAACAACTGATTGTTTAAGAGGAAAACAATTATTAGTTCTAGTCCTGGCCAATATTATTTTCTTTTTTATCCTAGAAGTGCACAAGGCTTTCAAACTACACAGGGTTTTAGGTCGGGAACAAAATAAATAATAAATACTGACTCCTTCAATTCCCAAACTATCATTAGAGCCTCTATTTTCATAGATATTGTGTGTAAAATCTATAATCTGAGCAGATAGATTAGTCCTAATCACAATTAAATGAAATGCATGTGTATTACAACTGTAGCGCATCTTTAAATCCAAACTAATGAGATTAATTAACTCTACTCTTTATCCAAAGTCGCCCGTTTGTAATAAAAAAAATCACTTCAAATATGAAAATAAACAAAACAGACAATACATTATTAAAAACTTCGAAACTGACCTACTTTACAACCTGCAAGCATAACAATGTTACTATACACAGCTACCTTATCTCTCAGAGCAGCACACAGACATAAGCTTTTTATGGTTTCTGGTAAACATGTAACACACCCATATAGCGTCTTGCTCCACTAGAGAGTGCTATATCAGCTCTGATTCTGCTTGGACTGCAAGTATGAGACTGCAAAAAAAGCAGGTCATTCGATGAGGATGTTTACAGCAGATACACATGGCCACTTTGCATTGATAGTGGCAAAAGAAAAGCAGCTGAATATAAAATATGACTCCCAGTGAGCTGACCAAGCCCAAACATGGATGCTAACACACAGAAATAAACACCCTTGATGGAAAATTTTACAATTTCATAGTGGTTCATCACACATCCTCGGCTCACCCTCTCATTTGCTGCACACCGCAGAAATGAGGAGAAGAGAACAACACAGAGAAAAAGGGAGAGACTAAGGAGTGATAGCTGTATTGCTTTTGTCACAACCTCAAAATCCGTATCAGGTGAGCACATGGGCCACTGGACCACAACGAGGTACAGGGTTTCCACTTCATGCCTGGCTGGGTTTCAAAACTGCTTTTGTTTATTACTGGGTGTATGGTTCACTACATTAACACTGGGCTCATTAGAAAAAAAGAGGGGGGGACACCAGGTGACAGTGGCATGTAGAAGTAATGTTTTCCACTGGTTGTGTGTGGCTTTACAAGGCACTTTACATTGTAACGTTAAGACCTTCCAATATTAGAAAGATAATCCCAGTAATCAGAGGACCCCCTATGAGCAAGGACTTGGTGAAAGTGGGAAGGAAAAAAATCCTTTTTAACAGGAAGAAACCTCCTGCAGGACCAGGCTCAATGTACGCGCAAGTAAGTGCTTTTAGCCAAAAATCAGATCTGAGTCTCTAAATGCTTTCTTTCAGGCATTTTTTTGCACTCATGGCTCTGTATGATGTCAGCACAGAAGCCCCACCCACTTTCTGTTTAAAACTTCTGTTTAACAAAAAGTAACCAATTAGAAGACAGCTAGCTCAAAGGGTGGAGCAATGGACTTAAAAATGGATTGTTTTAGACAGTGAATTAACTAAGGAGCCGCTCCAAAGTCCAGTCCAGGATAAATAAGGATGACTCTGAAATGTGAATGACACAAAGCTATGCTAGCAGAGAACAACAACAAGAACACGAGGCTCAAAATGATCATGATAGGCTCCCTTTGAGGTACAGATACAAAACATTCATGTTTTAGCAGTAGATTGTAGCAGAGATAATCAAGCTGGAGTAAACAGAGCTTTCGTTGGAGTCTATTTTCAGTCAGATAAACATACGTTTGCTGAAGTAGTAAATATTTACAGCAGCACAGTGGTGTGTGACATATAAACTACATAGAGCCCAGCATCCAGCCAGTGGATCTGTATTTTTTCAATAAATAGTCTGTGGACAAAAACTGAACTCTATACCACAGAGTAACACAATCAGGACTTTAAATGACACCTGCCTTGTCTTATGATTCAGCGTTTAGTGATTATCAGCAGATAGAAAGTGTAAGGTTTGCAGTCGACTGAGTCTTCTAAGGTTGATCTTTCCATCCCTGTACACACAAATGAAGCTGCCACAGTACAGGAAGAGAGGGTTAAAGTGTGACCAGCAATAAACCTCCAATCACCCCAACACAGGAGCACACACACACAGGTGTCATTATTCAAGCTGGCTGCTACACTCCTGATTTGTATTCAGTGGTTGTTGTAGTGGACTTGAGTTATGAGCTCCCCTCAGCTTTTAGTTGTGCAGTATTTACCAGGGCGAAGGAGAGATGAAGGCTAGCCCGACAGCCCTTACACACATATCTATTGGAATATTTCATGTATGTTGTGATAATGTGTCTGGAAACATTGCATTGTTATATTATGCTCATTTATCACTTTATTTATCTGATTACATTTGACATTCAAAGAGTACGAAAAAAAATGCAAACAGACAAAAACTAAAACCTGTACTAAAAAAATCATGGGGATTGTGCGAAGATGACAGCAGAAGAAAGAAAATAGGACTAAAGGAAGGTAGAGAGGGGCGGAGGAAATGGGAAGAGGGCAGGAGGATATGGAGAGGACATAAATCACCGTGTACGGTAAATGTCGCTACCTATGCATCACCCACATTTCTGATTTCCTCTGGGTGGGAAACAGAGGTGGTGAGCTGAAGAGGGAACATGAAAGGAAGACAGTGGGTTGAATAGATGTGGTGAGGAGGATGAGAAGGGCAAAGGAAACACTGAAGCAAACAAGGATCTGAAGAGTTGTGATCAAAATTATGTCATTGAAAGAGTATGACAGTTTCTAGATCATTTAACTACAGGTTATTTGGTTAGGCACAAACATCAATAATGAGCCCAGGTTTTATGCCAGGCAGGCAAAAACTCCCATTTGTCAGCATCACTGGTGACTCAGCGATATGAAGTAGTTTAACAACTAACTTACAGAAAAACATTTTTACAACCAGGTACCACAATGATTTAGCGCTCTATGAAGAAGAGGTGGGTGATTTTTTTTTTCTGTAACATTTGGATTTTGCTAAGACTAAAAGCTAGCATGTGTACCAACACAGGCAGCACTAACTGATAGCTAGGTTTGCTAGCTATCATTATTTTGGTGATGTTGGTACCTATTCAAGCATTTTTAAAGGAATTATCTGATAAATAATGCCTTGTTGTGTGGTTCTGCCTGCCATAGAAGTTTGGATTTTGGTTTTTGTACATGAAATTCTAGTATTTTATTAGTCTGTAATTTAAAATAGAATAGAATAGAATTCAACTTTATTGTCATTGCACATGCACAGGTACAGGGCAACGAAATGCAGTTTGCATCCATCCAGAAGTGCTTTAGTGATATAGATATATTACAATATATATTAGCAATAATATAGATATGTGAGTATATTACAGAAATGGGTCTATTATGGTATGTTATAATGTACACGGTATGAAGTATGTTGTGAATATTCTATAACTAAAGTATGTACAGGCTATGAACAGGATATAAATATGAAAAAAAAACTATACAGAATATGAAATAAAAACTTTACAGAATCTGAGATATACAGCTATACAGAAATGGGAACTATGCAAGTTGTAAACAGTTGTAGGATTAAAAATTATCGAATGTACAGAATGATTATTTACACAGAGCTATACAGTAGTGCAGTTAAGATAAGTGAGATATAATTCCTACAGAGGCTATATAAAGTGCTAGTGGTTGTGAGTGGTGGTTCAGTCCATGTTATTATTGTGTGTTTGAGGGTACAGTTGTCCATTGTGGGTGTGTGTATGTTCAGTCCATGTGTTAACGTGGGTCAGATGTCAGGAGGCAGAGTTCAGGAGTCTGACAGCTGTGGGGAAGAAGCTGTTCCGGTACCTGGTGGTCTTAGTCCGGAGGCTCCTGTAGCGCCTCCCAGAGGGCAGGAGGGTGAAGAGTCCATGTGATGGGTGACTGGGGTCTTGATGATTTTCCCAGCCCTTTTCAGACACCGCTTCCTGTAGATGTCTTTTATGGCAGGAAGTGGTGCTCCGGCGATGCGCTGGGCAGTTTTCACGACCCTCTGCAACGCCTTCCGGTCCGAGGCAGAGCAGTTCCCGTACCAGACTGTTATACAGTTGGTCAGGATGCTCTCGATGGTGCAACGATAGAAGTTCACCAGGATGTCTGAGGACAGGTGGTTCTTCCTCAGAGTCCTCAAGAAGAAGAGGCGCTGGTGAGCCTTCTTGACCAGCTTGGAGCAGTTGGTCGTCCAGGTGAGATCCTCGGAGATGTGGACTCCCAGGAACTTGAAGCTGCTCACACGCTCCACAGCCGTCCCCTTAATGTGGATGGGTGGATGTGGGTCAGCATTCCTCCTGTAGTCCACGATGAGCTCCTTGGTCTTCTCGGTGTTAAGCAGCAGGTTGTTTATTTAGCGCTAATTGGTAGGTATCTATGTCTGTGTTGATCTTATGGCAGCTTATGGTTGGAGGTTGCTAACCAGTCTCGATGGAATTAGCTGGTAACTTTACACTTAACCAAACTTAATCAAACACGGATAACTTGAAGTACAACCAGTGATCATTGCTGGAAAGACTCTAATGCTGGTGCTTTAAAATGCAAACTCTATAGTGTGCTACTGTTTAGCCATTGCACGTCAAGATTTTAGTAGGTAAATAGGTTTTATGTAAAAAACAAAATCTTTACTCATAGTTGAAATATTGTAGTGAAGGTTTAGTGAGTGCCAGTAATAGAATATTTACAGGTGCTTTACCAGCACTAATCACTTAACAAATTAGGACTCAGGGGCCAACAATACACAAAAAACATGTAATAAAGGTGAGATCTCAAACAAATACTGATACAGGTTCTGAAATGTAAAATTGGTTCATTTAGACCCTTTCTGCACTTAGCTTAAGCACAATTAAATTAATGCAATGCCTTGTTAGCTCATGTGTCGTCTTAACCCACCGGTGCCTATTTACCGGAGATAAATCCTGTATTTGTTGCTTTTCCTAATCCCGACCTGAAGCAGGTGTAAACCTCAGCCGAGGTGATTGGACTCAGGACCCACTGCGGGGTACACAAACACAGAGCCAAACTTAGGAGCCACACCAGCCGCTGTGCTTAAAAATAGAAAGCGTCACTCTTTTTGTAATTATCCCTCTTTCCCCCCTCTGTCTCTTCTCTGTCTCTCTTAACCAGATAAGGGGATTGTGCATAATATTTCTTGAAGGAGTCGTGAGCTGTTTGTGCTGCCTGTCGCTTCCATTTAAAAGCTTTTTGTGAGCCAGACTGAAAGCTCTATAAACACATATGGATGTTTCACAGCACACTCACAGTTGACCCGCTATTTGCCACATTCATCTACAAACTCCAAACAAGATAATAAATCTATCTCGTTCCAACTGGTGTGTGGGAGGGAGTGCAGGGGTACCCCGGACTCCTGCAGAGCAATGTGGGCCTCCAGAGAAATCTGCCATGGGAGAAGACAAAAGGGTGCAAGTGTAAAGCATACTGCAATAATAATGCCCAGTGTGCAGTCACACAGAGGTGGATGCGAATGGACCGACAAAACCACAACTGCACAGAAGCTAAAACCTTGGAAAATTCTTCCACTGTTACAAGTGGCATCTCACTTTTTTGTTTAGATCAAAATTCAGTTCATTTTGAACTAAACATAAAATGAGAGTTTCGTGTGTTGTGAAACCGAGTTATTACGTCTAATGTACCTGAAAGAAACAGCTGGATATGAAAACGGAAACAGGTGAGGCAGATTGTTTGAGCCCATGCACCTGTAATGGTGAGGAGTCAGGACTCATCTCTGAGCAGGGCTGGATCATAATTTTTCAGTGTGGGGTTTGCTGTTGTGAATGGGTGCATTTTAACCCAAAGCATGACCTTTTCCGGACACTAACCAAGCAATTGTTAATGGCTAAACCTACCCAAATGCAGCAAAGTACAGTAAAATGTGATTGCAAATGAAATAGATCAGCAAAAATACAAAACAAAAAAGTAAAACCAAGGTCCAAATCTGCACGGTTTGCCCGAAGACACCAGAAATCAATTTAAGTGGTTAACTTGGTAAATGGCAAGTGGTCTGTATTTGTATAGCGCTTTACAACTTAACTCGCTATCCACCTGTAGGCGGCAGCCCACCATCTTCCTGCACAATGGTATGGCCACAGTTATGCAGGTTTCTGATGCATAATTCTTTTCGTTTTCCTTTATCTGAATTTGTAAGCTTTACAAAGAAAACTGATTTTTGTCACAGCCCGTGTTTCATGTTCATGCTTATCATTTTCCTCGGAACGTTCCCAAAATTCGCTTGCAAAATGAAAGCTCACAGGATAACGTGACCGCTGTCTCAGATAAGGATCCTGTCTGAAATTTCACAATAAAACTTCAGCCGAGATAAAGAGCAAACTGCTTGACGTTTAGCAGCTGTTCAAACTCCCAACCTCTTCGACCTTTTTTCTCAATGACAGCAATGCCACAAAATGTAAATGTCAAACTCTGGCTTGACTCATCGGTTGACAAAAGCTATGTCTGCATTTCTTTTCTTTTTTTCCTATTTAACCAAAATGCCATTTCCATAATTTTAGGCACTTATTTTCCTCGAGAAGTTAAAGGAGTTCTTTTTCTTCAAAACAATCACCCCTTGTTTTTCTCCTCTAAATGGATCATCAGTCTGTTATGATGGATAAATGCATGAGAGTTAGCCAGTAGCTGCTGTGAGAGAGGCTGTCAAAGCTGTGGAAAATGTCATAGCTGTGTTTCAAGTCCACTTGTGGAATATGACAAGGCATTGTGGTATACTTTAGATAAACTTGTTTGTATTGCCACCATTAAATGTGAAAAGCAGAGTTTACATGGAGCAAAAATAAATAAATAAGAGGATCTGCTGACATCCTGCACAGAGGGCTGCGAGGTGCAACGAGGGGGCGGACATCTTCATTTAAGTGCACGTCATCCGAATCACACCGTTCGCATTAGGCTTGAACAGACGCAGCCTGTTTTCAGCGTACACTACAACACACATGTGATAAACACACACGTAAATGTACCAGCAGTGGAAGCTTAGCAATATAAGAGTGTGTGTGAGAGAAAGACATGCAGAGAATGAGTCTAGCATGTGTCTACTAACTTCTGCGAGTGACTTCTAGCCACTGAGAACAACAGCTCATTCTGCTAGCTGTGAGCCTTCATTAAAGTCTTAGAAACACTCTCTCTTGCTCATCACTCTTCCTCTGCGAGATCCCATTATGCACGGCCAATGAGCTAAGCCTCCCTTTCGTAAACAAGTCAGAACCACTCGGACTGAATCGGCCTGAAAACACTTTTAAATGTGTGTGAAAAGGCGTTTGAGTAAACCTGCTGCCAAATGTTGGAGTAGAAAAAGAGGCTGAAGCTGACACCGCCTCACCGCCTTCTGCTTTAGTGTATAACGCCTGTGCCTGCATGAATCCAAGGTCTCCTGACCCGGGGCATTTCTAGAATTTATTTATTTTTTAATTGGGCGACCAGACGGGGGAAAATTTGATCAAAAACAGGAAGACTGAATTGGTTGTGAATGAAATAAATTTAATTGTGAACATCCATCCTGCCGCCATAAACATGCAATAAGAGAGCTTTACTGAATCCCGAGAGTCGAGCATGCAGCGATGGTGCTCACAAAATGCTCACATTTTAGTTACAGCCACAAATAATTATTTTTTATTTTACCAAGTGTTAGAAGTAAAGAATGATGCCTCACACACGTCATCTTGTTTAAGTTGCCCAATTTGCAAAGTGACGGAGCCCAATAAATAACAATAAAGAATAAGCTAATGCTTCAGCTCATTGTAGGGTATCTTCCTCTCTCTTGTGTTCGCATTTATTAAAATTATCAACATAGGGCAGTATTGGGGGGGCAGTTACTTCCTGCCAGTCCCCCCTTGGTGGCACCCCTGCTGGCACCTGCCAGTGCTTCCCGTCAGCCTGCTAGTAGGTGCAAGTATATGGTGTAAATTTGAAAATCCTTCACAAGTTATCACATTCAAAGATTTTCAGAAAACCTGACCTCTGACCTTGACTTTGAGTGCAAGGTCACTGAGATTCGAAGTTGTCTGAGATTTTTTGTAGATGCATCTATGGTATGAATTTCAAAATCCCACATCGTTCTGAAGTTATCCTCATTCTCAAGTTACTTTCATTCACAAACATGAGTGACCTCACCGCTCACCCATCCGCCAACATGTCCTTTTACAGCTGAGGGGTAAAAACAGCACATTTTTATCTTAACATTCTGTATATGTGGCACAGCACGGGAAAAGAGAT